CTGTCGAAACAAGTCGCTTTGTTAATAGGGCAAGTAGTCAGAGTGAACCAGTCCAACGTATGTTTGTTTGTTTTTTTCATTTCAATGCTCAGGATACAACAGTGTGCCGAATTACCAGCTCGAGTGATGGTCAGTATGTAGCTGTGCAGTGTGACAGGTGAGTCCCCGTGTGTGACTCTGTTGTTGTTGGACTGTGCACTATATACAACTTTACAAATTTAACCAGATGAGCGCCAAATTAAAGGAAAAATGAGTAATGGAACAACAAATACAGTTGTCATTTATCATCATGCTCAGTAGCAGGCGGAGGTCATCTAAGATAAGGACAATGCTGGACTATACCTCCCACCCACTCTGTGACGTGCTGGCCAGTCACAGGAGCACATTCAGTGAGACAGATTACCCATAATGCACCACTGAGCGACGCAGGAAATGATTCCTGCCTGTGTCTCTCTGTACAACTCTTCTATCTAATACACAGTGCAGCAGTTTTACCCTTTTGCTCTACAGTAAAATAACAAATGAAGTTTTACAGGTTGGAGTAAAATCTCTTTCACCTCCGTTATAGTCTTGATATTTATAATTAAGCTATTTGTATAGAGCTATTTCTTATATTTTAATAGATTAAATGCTGTGTTGAGATGGATTTTAAAATCACCCACAATAATTCTTTAATTTAATCTAAGCACTAAATCGGATTAAAAAAAACCTGAGAAATCTGATAGAAACTCCAAGTAAAGGCCAGATGGACGTGTGGAGTGGTGCACTGAGCGATTCTGTTTAGGCTTCCGAGGAAGAGGCTGAGGAGTAGCTAGCTTATGTGTGGTAGTTGGTTTAAGCTAGTTATGTAAGGCTTACCTTTGCTTTAACGATGAAACATTTCTTCTTCACCTCCTACATGATGGCACTATTTAACCATCCAGATCAAAAATACATGTTACTGTCCTTACTTTGAAGGCTGCTATCATGGCTGTATATGTCACTCTGTGAGAGATGCCATTTTCAGGGATTTAAATAAAGCTGCTGGGGAAGAATATGGATCACACTTCCCCAAAACTCGTAATTTCTATGCATGTGTTCTTTTTTTCCTCCATTGATAGATAATCCAAGTAGTCTGGGCTCAAGACAGATGAGGAAATAACAAAACATTTTGTCCTGCAGTACCACCGACTGTGGTACTGTGGTCACAATGGAGTAATGTTTTGCCCACCAGGGTCAGTCACAAGACTGAAAACTAAACACAAGCACTTTGCTGCACTTCTCACAACACACAAAGTCCAGCTCTTTACCTTTACTTTCTTTGTGTATAACGATTTCTCCAAACATTAGATTAAACATTCTTCACCTTTAGTTTTGTTATCAGAATCAGTTGCACTCTCCATCCTGCTGACAGTCCTGGGACCCACTGTCTATGTTTAGCTGCCAGCTCCCACCTACAGCAACTTTAAACCCCCCCATCCTGTGCATTCGCGCAGGGCACCAATGTGAATTGCACTATCAAATAAGACGTTATGTAAAAGTGTTTAATTAAATGGGCTACACACGTAAGGTACATAAAACACTGCTGTGCTTTGTAACAGGAAATGTTACTGCAGAGCCAACACCAAGCACTTCAAATCAAATCACTTTGATTGTCACATCACATGTGCAGGTACACTGGTACAGTACATGTGAGTGAAATTCTTGTGCGAGCTTCTCAAGCAACAGACGTGTGCAAAAATACAATAACATAAAAACAAGCAAAATATAAGAATGGCCACCTTTCTACACAGCTACACATTAGTTCTGATTCGATCTCGTTTCTAAACATTGACAAAAAGTGTCAGTATATTTCATCACAGTTTCTATCCTTGTGCTTTACTTTTTATTTAGTTAGCATCTGGCTTTTGTCAGGAAAAAATGTGGTCTACAGAGACTAAGCCAAGTCTCTGTAGTAGTTAATCCAGTTTCAGAATTAAAGCTAGAGTCTTACGGAGGGGTCCCACTGATGATTTGCTTGCGCCCCGTGTGTTCTCAGCGTGCCCATACTCCAGCTTTTCACACTGACTCAGAAGGGCAAGGAGAAGCTTGTGCCACACAGCAGGATCTCCCTGCCCTGCTGTCCCCTGGACGTGAACTTTGACCCCGAAGGACGACTGTGGGTGCTGATGGACTCTAGTGATGCACCACTTCAAATCTACTCACTGACACACAGCTCCTGGGAGGTACAATGCCATAATTCATAATGAATATATGTAGAGAAGAAACTGCACTCAGATATTTTCAGATGATTGGAGTCTCTGTATTGGTTACATTCATACACTGGATACACGAGATTGGAGACTGGACACATCCAGGGTCCATATTGGATATATGACAATAGTTTTAAGTATTGAAAACGAGTTTGTTCTTGTGATACACTAACTCTGATGAAACACAGGCTCAGCGAATCAGATCCTATGACATGGGGCAGTACAGCTGTACCTTTATGGTTGCCATGGTATTGTTCTCTCTTCCAGGGATGTTGGCCAGTGTTTCAGTGTATATAGTCATAAATATAGTCTGCTGCTATCGTTTAATTCCCTGTTTAATTCTCTCCCATAAATGTGTATGGGTGTGTTGACTCTGGCTGACCTGTGTGCTCTCTGGGTCTCTCTAGTGTGTTGTTCATGTACCTGAACTTAACAGAGTGACTAAAGCCTTCAGGCCACACTGGGAGACACTTGAAGGTGAGTTTAATTCAGTTTTATTTATTTAGCGCCAAATCACAACACAAATCGCCTGAAGGTGCTTTATATTGTTAAAGACCCTACAGTAATAGAAAGAAACCCCAACAGTCAGACAACCCCCTCTGAGCAAACGCTTTGGCGACGGTAGGAAGGAAAAACTCCCTTTTAGCAGGAAGAAACCTCCGGCAGACCCTGGGTCAGGGAGGGGCGGGGCCATCTGCTGCGACCATTTTAGGGTGAAGGGACGAAGACAAAAAGACATGCAGTGCAGGAGAGCCACAGTTTAATAATAACTAATGATTACATGCAGAGAGGTGTATGAACACACGTGGTGAGTGAAGAAGAAACATTCAGTGCATCATCCCCCGGCAGCCTACGTCTATTGCAGCATCACTAAGGGAGGATTCAGGGTCACCTGGTCCAGCCCTAACTATATGCTTTAGCAAAAAGGAAAGTTTGAAGCCTAATCTTAAAAGTAGAGATAGTGTCTGTCTCCTGAATCCAAACTGGAAGCTGATTCTACAGAAGAGGGGCCTGAAAACTGAAGGCTCTGCCTCCCATTCTACTTTTAAATACTCTAGGAACAACAAGTAGGCCTGCAGAGCGAGAGCGAAGTGCTCTAATAGGGTGATATGGTACTACGAGGTCATTAAGATAAGATGGGGCCTGATTATTTAAGACCTTGTATGTGAGGAGCAGGATTTTGAATTCTGGATTTAACAGGAAGCCAAAACAGGAGAAATCTGCTCTCTTTCCCTGTCAGTACTCTTGCTGCAGCATTTTGGATTAGCTGAAGGCTTTTCAGGGAGTTTTTTGGACATCCTGATAATAATGAATTACAGTAGTCCAGACTGGAAGTAATATATGCATGAACTAGTTTTTCAGCGTCACTCTGAGACAGGATATTTCTAACTTTAGAGATGTTGCGCAAATGGAAGAAAGCAGTTTTACATATTTGTTTAATATGTGCGTTGAAGGACATGTCCTGGTCAAACATGACTCCAAGGTTCCTCAAAGGCAAAACAACCCAGAGTAAACATCTGGCTGGTACCATATTTCTGAGATTTTTAGGCAATTTGCAAATTGCCTAAAATTTGCAAATTATTGATGAAGAAACTGACCTCCCAGCCCATTGTTCATTCAGTGGGCCGGTTCCAGTCATTGTGCAAATGTACTGTTTATAAAGTTGGAAACCTTCAGTCAGCTGAGACTGAAGACGTCACCTGGATGAGTGACAATATGTTTCTCCTGCTGAAAATGCTACGTTGGGTTGAACAGAATCAACCTTTTGGGATTTCCTTACCTGGATGATTGAGCCTGCATCAGGACATCTGTCTGTATTATTATATTTTTCATATACTGATGCAGACATATACTTACTGTACCTTCTCTTAAATACCAGCCTCCTTAAGGACTAATAACCGGTTTGAGCAGCTGCACAAGGTGACCTTTGACAATGTGGCGGTGTACCTCCAGAGGAAACAACAAAGGCTGGAGGAGCAGCACCTGAAGAGGAGCGGGGGTCAAAGAGCAAAGGGCAACAAGAGGGTCAAGAAGGAAACTGAGTCGGTGACTCAGCCATTTGCCTGAAGACACTTGAAGAACTTTTATTTCCTTGTTTTGATGCATTGATAAAATGTGTGAGCTTCACCACACAGGCCCGATGAGGGGTTCTTATGTTTGACTCAAATTTCTCTTATTTTTAAAGAAGAATGTTGTAGAAACATTATCATTAAAGTCTGCCCTATGTTTCCACCATCACCAGTGAAGGAAACATGCTGTTCACGGAACCATATGCACTCACACTGTCTTCGGGTTAGAGTTGCTCTCTGTTCACATTTCTGATTGCATGCATGCAGTGTGTGGTAGCAGCAGCTGAGGAAGTGACTACTAAACTTCCTCAGAGTTTTTCCAGAGCAGGCTTCTGACGTGTAGGAAAAGCTGAGTGAGTTATGAGAATGAATGAAACAGGAAAATGTGTTCCACAACTTAAAAAGAATATGAGACTAGGATTTAATTAAACACTCTGGGTTTCACAGCCTCTCAGCAATAAATTGAAGTAATCATTTTCTCAATGACTGTTTCATATAATTGTGAAGGAAATTGGGCCTCTTCTGTTTTACATGGTTTGTACATAGCTGTCCTGACACTGTAGGGTTGAGGCCTGGAGTTTGGGTTACTGCAACACCTCCTTTCCCAGGTCAGGCGGCGAGAAAAGAAGCTCACATCATTACCTGTGCACCACAGTGCAGACAGCTGCTGAGATGCTTTTTGCTCTTGTGCTGTGTGTGTTTTGGGGTTTTTTTGGTCAAATAATTTATTCTCTATCACATCGAGACTCTCTCTCCACTCCGTTACATATTCCATATGTACAGGGAATGATCCCCATTGGTTGGATGTGTAGATACTTCTTTAAGACACTCTGCCTAGCCTGCCCACTCCCCACAGCACACGTATAAAGCAGCTGCGCAGACATGAAACCACCTGTGCAGTGTGTCCGTGTACTTCATGTACATGTACATAAGACTTAAATCAACTCAGAGTGGATGGTTAGTTATGTGTGTGTGTGTGTGTGTGTGTGTGTATATATTTAGATTATACAGGACCTCATATGGGTATTCTGCTATTGATACATCATTACATTTACATATCCACTGGTACGTAGCCCACATGTATTATCACAGCAGGGCTGCTGTAAATCAAATGATGAGCTGATGTCAGTACTTCACAGTTGGTCAGAAAGATTCGCCACATTCCCAGGGCTTCATCACACCATCAAACGTACCCACACTGTCACCACACCCCCCACAGACTTGTGTTGTACCACACATGGTACAACACAAGATATGATCGATATGATAGAGAACACCTGATCCAACGAGCGCAACAAAGCAAAGAGGTGAGGAGCCGATTCCTTTTGGGTCAGGAAAAGTTTGGGACAGCAGGCCAAACAGGCGTTTTAGCTAACCGCCCACCTCACTTACCCTGACGCCTGTGCCGCTTCCAGTGAGGTGAGCACGGAGGTTGGTAGAAAAAAGCTTTAGAACTGTCTGGTGATCATACATCTGTAGACACTTGACATTTTGCTTGACACACAACAACAAAAACAAAGTGGAGAGCAAAAGATGCAGCAGATGGCATGCCGTACACACTGGCGCCACAATGACCCATGAAGTTAAGGAGGATATGCAGAGGGTGTGACAGAGGAGGATAGGGTAAGATGGATGCAGATGATCCAGTGAGAGGGAGCAATCACAAGAAGAATTAGGAAGCATTTCATTTCAATGCATTTCGTTAACTTTTGGCTTCTCCCTCTCTTGTATTTTGTCCTTGTCTATCTTTGCCCTCCTTTTTTCCTCTTCTCTTTTGCTGCCTTTCCATGACGAATAATTGGCTATTTTGTGTGAAAATAAAAGAAACAGTCCAGATAGAACTTTGCTATTAAGATTATACTTTTAATTTTTGTATAAAATAACAAAAGCCAATAAAAATATGTAAAAACAAACACAATACACAAATTATATCTAAATATTGTTCACTGAAGTAGTCTGTGGTATTCGAATGCTAGCATTCAGCTAAAACCACTCAATTCAGAGTCCCTCTGGTTCTCAAGTCCTGTAGCAGCTTAAGAAGCTGCTCTTAAACATCGGCCATCATCTTCCTGTGGCACACTGGAAACGACAACACCCTTCATGCTGCTCCATGTGAGGAGTGGACAGGGTGATGGAAGGTCTTACAGCTCCCAGTGGAACAACACATCTCATTATTCCACTGTACTTGTGCTCTGTGCTCACTGGTCCTGAAACACACGGATCACAAAGAAAGCGGTTCATACATAGTCTGACTGAAACATTGCAGCAAACACTTGTGTTTGGTTCCTACCTTTTCAGAACTTTTCACTTCTCACCATCCATTGTTAAATTCTCACTTTTCTTTTTCTGCACCTGAAGGAAACACACTTTCTCAGTTACAAAGTACACTCAGAACCAATCAGACAAATTAAATGCAGCCGCATTTAAAAACACACACACTTGTAAAAATCATCCAACCTCATTCACAGCATCATCAGTCTGTTTGAGCTCTTCGTACCGGTCTCTTGACTCTCTGAGTGGCTTTACCATCACCTCCTCAATCTGTGGGAACAGCTAACAGATGCACACACACACATGCAGTCAGTATTAAAGCTGCAAACGCCTCATTATTTTGTGTTTATGTAACTCTAAGAGTCAAAATGTGTGAAGTCAAGAGACAGTGTAACAGTGTGTAACAATAAGCAGTCCATTTAGATCCTTAGCACAGACAGGAACTTCCTGGTTGGAATTTATAATTATTGCTGTGACAGTTTATGCATTATCCTCCATTTTATCATTATTGCTGATGTGTCACTGCTAAAGCACACATTTACGGTAACAGGTGCTTGAGGTGGAACTAGTTTAAACTGCTTTATATACTCATTCTTATAGGTGATCAAAAAGTTCTGCACCATCACCAAAAAAAAATCTATTTTGGCTAATCTCCCTTTAAGGCCATCTGCTACTGGACCTCTGCACCACTTCCTGTTCTCCCATTCTTGCACACTTACACAGAGAGCAAGTGTTAACTTCTCTGACTATAAAGGGTATAAAGGATACATTTACATGATGACTGAAACTAGCACCACTGGTGAACAATTCCTCGATTCTGGCACGGTGTGATTTGGAGTTTGAAAGCCACAGAGACACCGTGTTTAGGGAAAATGTGTTTGTTATTGATCAATGGTCACTGATCAGTGGTCATGACAATTTGCATATTTATGATCAAGAAACTGACCTCACCAGTGGTTCTAGTTTCCAACTTTAACCAACTTTGACTGAAGAAGTCACTTGGATGAGTGATGAAATGTTTCTCCCACTGAAAACGTTGATTCTAGATGAACAGAATCAATGTTTTGGGATGATTTAGCATGCATCAAAACACTTCTCTGATTAGTGTTATTGGAGTTGGGTCTCCACTTACAATTCAGAGACCAAACATCAGTTTAAATAAAAGACATTATCGTATCTGAGGGAAATGTTGTTTGTTGTTTGAACAAGACGTTTGGTCAGAAAACACTCACTAAGAGTGAGTGTTACACTAAGAAATTTAGTGTAACATCTGAGGAAGAACATACAGCACATACAGAACACCTGGGAAGTATTCACAGCGCTTCATTTAGTCCACATTTTTCATGTTAGGTCACTTCAAAATTTTAGACACAATCTTGTGCTCAGAGTTTGTTCCTGTGCTGCCGCGGTTAGTACCCGTGCTATCTGTGCTGTCTTTCAGTCCAGCTTTGGTAAGATCTCTCAATGTCAGTCGCTTCTGTCAGTGGTCATACTGTCCTTCCATGATGGTTCCTCTCCTTGTTCCTCCTCTTTCTTGGGTTTCTGCTGCTTGAGGTATTCACTAAGCACATGTCAGTTGTTTCCATCTTCCCGATGTACTTATGGATGTTCGTTGTTTCATCGGTGGTTGGCCTCCTTCCTTTCGCTTAGCATACATTGCCGTCTATCTCCTTCTTTGGCCAGCTTATTATCCCAGCAGGGTATCTAATCACCGGCAGGGCATAGGTGTTGATTGCCCAGATCTTGTTTTTCCCATTCAGCTGCTCTTCAGGACTTGGCTGACCCTCTGCAGGTATTTGGTGGTTGCGGCCATCTCCCTTATATATATAAAGAGGATCCCAGATACCAACTACAGATCCCATTCTGTAGTTGGTATCTGTAGCCATTCTATTTGAATGAGTGGATTCAGACTTATGCAGAACAGAAGTGGGGGAAAAGCATCTCTTTTGGTAAATCCCATACTTGATGGCAACTTGTGCAATTGGCTTTAAGTCTGGCCTTTGTTGCACCCTCCTTCCTTGTGCTCTTCCAATATTGCTCTATCTCCATCTCCAGCATTCCCTCTGTGTGGCCTCTAGTCTCCTTCTCCATGGAGGATACTGCTTCTTGTGGCTGTTCATCTTGTAGCCAAGCATCTGGACGAATCTTGCCATGATGTTGCCAATTCACTTGCTCACAGGAGATCATATCATTGTTAGGGTTTTCTCAGTTTTCTTTGTATTATTGCCAGCAGGCAATCGACCCAAGACTCAGCCACCTCCATGGCCCTCACTTCATTGGAGATGTCACAACATTTGATAAGTACCATCTTCAGCTGCACACAACACAGGGTCAGAGGGTCGAGGCTACCATAAATGCTGATGTATCAAACCGCCTGTGAGACTCGGTTCATATCCACACCTTTTCTCATGATAACCTCCCCAAAGTGTGCAGCTTTGCTCTCAGGTCCAAAATTGAATTTCATTCTTAGCTGGGCTTGGATCTGCTGGCTTCCTGCCAAACAGTAACTCAAAGGGAGAAAATCCCATGGATGCCTGGTGAACCTCTCGCACTGAAAACAACAGAGGCTCTATCCAGTGATCCCAGTTGTGTTCATTCTTGTGAATGAACTTACGAATCATGGACCTTAAAGTCCTATTCAGTCGCTCCACTAAACCGTCGATCTAGGGTGGTAGACACTGGTCCGAACAGATTTAATGCCAGTTAATTTGTACAGTTCTTCTAGTGTGCGAGACAGGTTGTAGATGCATCCCCACACACTGACCCAATAGATTCTTAAACCCCGGCCAATCTGTCCTCAGAACTGAAGTCTTTACTCTATGTGTTTTGCCCTGAAACTTTATCTGCAGCCAGCGCTACTAGGGGATATTTGTGAATGTCCCCATGCACACACCTGACCTCCACCCACTCTGCGTCCAACAATGCCTGTGAAGCCCATTTCCACCAAAGCTTGGCATATATCCCCTGGGCACCTTACTGGAACACTGTGTGGCCCTCCTGGACCGGAGGAGGGTGTTGGAGCCCCTGCGACGCTGAACACCTGCTCCATGTCTATCAGTGGGCACACTCCCACCACAGGTGTCCCTGCCGCCCATAACCCCAACACCCCTGCCTTGGCATCGGTGCCGCCCTGCGTGGTGTTTGTCGCTGCCAGGTCCTGGGGAGGCAGATCGGGGAGAAAGGGGTTAGTGGGCTGTAGCTGCAGTGGCGGTTCTGCCAGGGCAGGGCTGGGGAGCCAGCCGGCCAGTGGGACGAGACCAGTTCCAGTGACCCTCTGCCTCCTCTGGCTGCATGGCCAGGTGGTCCTCCTCTTCCGGCTGGTGGCAGCAAAGCCACCGTGCTGTCTCCCAGGGGAGCCCTTCCACGAACTGCTCAAGGACCACCTGCCCTTACACCTGCACTTCTCTCTTGGTCGCTCAGGTCGTAGCCACCTTGCCCCTGAGTCGTGTGGCCTCCACTGTCGTGTAGCCCCATCCCAAAGGCCAATCTTCCACTGCCATCTGGCTTCTCCTGAACCACTGGCAATGTTCTTCTGGTGAGAGGCCTGCCCAGTCCAAGACATCCCTGGAGGTATCTGCAAAGCTCCCCTGACTAGCGGTAGGCTCAGAGCCCCCGTCTGAGCCTCCCCCAAAAGCAGCAGCCCCCAGCACCCACTCCACCGCAGGAACGTCTGTCACACGGTGTTGACCCACTGAACTGAAATATGGGTCACTGGTTTCCTGATCCTCCTAAAGTCCACAGTCATTTCCTTGTTCTTTGTTACTGCAAGTGATTCCACTCACTCCACATGACAAAGGAGTCCACCACAGGTTGGTGCATCATCTCACCAAACCCACTAATGCATCCATCCACCACATCAGAAAATCTTTGTAGATGGCAGGTCTCTGTACAGTGGCTGAAGTCCAAGGTGTAGAGCAGGGGTCTTGAACGCCAGTCCTTGAGGGCCGGTGTCCTGCAGGTTTTAGATGTGTCCTTGATCCAACACGGCTGATTTAAATGGCTAAACTACCTCCTCAAGTGTCTTGAAGTTCTCCAGAGGCCTGGTAATGAACTAATCATTTGATTCAGGTGTGCTGACCCAGGGTGAGATCTAAAACCTGCAGGACACCGGCCCTCGAGGCCTGGAGTTCGACACCCCTGGTGTAGAGGGTGAACAGGGGATAAGGTAACGGGGGAGGACGGCCCCTTGTGGTGCCCCGGTGTTGCTGATCAACTTGTCAGACACATAGTGTGGTCTTTCTGCCAGGTAATCTATAATCCAGCGCATGAGACAGGCATGGCTGTTAGTTTATCACCCAGGAGGACTGGTCTGATGATGTTGAATGCACTGGAAAAGTACAAAAGAAAAAATGACCTTCACAGTGCTCACCTGCTGTTCCAAGTGGCATAGACATGATTGAGCAAGTAATGGAGTTCTGAACTCCGAGGTGGGGTTGGTAAGCAGATGTGGCCTGACCATAGGTCAGAGCTGATCGAGGATCAGCCTATCCAGGGTCTGCATGATGTCTTAAATTAACGCCACAGATCTGTAAACCTGCTGCGTGGCATCTTTGGTACAGGAACAAGCAATAACAGCTTCCACAGCACCGGGACCCTCTCCAGACTGATCGTAAACAGTTTATAAAAGACTCCACAAAGCTGGACAGGAGGTAGTCCAACTCCTGTTGGATTTCACATAATAATAATAATCGAGGGCACAGGTAGTTACTCTCTGAAAGCTGGGCAGGGCAACACAAGGTCCCTAGTGCCTAAACAGGATTTGCTTGTGGAAGGAAGAACAGGCTTAGCGTTGCCAGTGCTGTGAATGTCTCTGACCAAACGATCACAAACAGAATTCATAAGGTAAGGTCCGATATCCTCTACTGGGCTCCGCGCTCACTGTGCAGCACTTTGCCATAGAATACCAGAATTGGCAGGTCAGCCACTGGCAGGTTCACCCGGGCATATGTGACAGTAGTGACACGGTCTGCATGACTGGTTTGGTGGTAGGCCAGTAAAGATCAAAGATTTGATACCATTGACTGGACCCCTGACCAAAATCCAACAGAACACCCCTGGGATATATTGCTTCGATTCATCTGAAACATCTTCCTTTTAGCAGTTAACATTTTCCAGCAGGAACAAGAGCTTTTAATGATTTTAATGTACAACAGCAGTGACATGCAGTTTGAATAAATGTGTTAGCTACTGAAATATTTCTGCCTCAGACTGTACAGTTTAAATATGTCAGTTGTTGTGTCTCTGTGGTATTGTAATGCAAAACATGAAATTATAAAAAAGCTCTAATAATATGCAGAGGAATAAACATGGTAGACCTTCACATATATTTGTTGTATCTCTGTTTGCTACATTCTTAAAATTAGCAGGGTAATACTGAAAATTCAGGAATTCAAAGTAGACAGCCGTCTCACTTCAGGTGTAATAGGAAAGCAGTTAGCCTAAAGCAGCAGCTAGTTTCCTTTCAATTTGAACCCTTTACCCAATATGAAGAATTATAAAGGAGAGCAAGGACCCACTCCTATCTTACACCTCTCTTATTTTGTCTGTCCTTGACTGTCACCGTCCACTCACCTTCATCACAGTCTCAAACATGGGGAGGAGGACGAATTTGATGAAGCCAATCTGGGCTGTTGACTTGGTGACCTTTTCTCTGTCCATGAACGGAGCCACAGGAAGTCCCTCAGCCTTCTCCCTGTCACTCTGAGCAGCACAAACACATATTTTCCATAAGCAGCTTACTTTTTTTGTCCTCCTACTAAAGTAAATGAGGCTAGACTTCAAGTGACTGCAGGTGTCTCATTGTTATTTATTAACCTTGTGTACCATCACTCCATCACAGCTAACCAGAACTTTCTGTGTACAAATGAAACAGACTTTGGAATGCTGCCTGCTTGTATTCAAATGCTCCCTGACTCTGCTATACCTACCTGCATGAAGTACTCCTCCAGCAGGCAATCGACCCAAGGCTCAGCCACCTCCATGGGTCGCACTTCATTGGAGATGTCACAACATTTGATAAGTACCATCTTCAGCTGCAAACAACACAGGGTCAGAGGGTCAAGGCTACCATGAATGCTGATGTAGCTAAGTACATTTGCATATTTTTCAGTAATCTTTTCCATTGGACAGGCTGGGGAACAAACTAATCTTCTCTCTCTCTTCCAGTTTGCTCAGCAAAGTGAAGCAGGAGTTACCAATCACATTATTTTCATTTTACTGTCTGTCCTTGCAAGACTGATACTTTATTTACTAACTGTCCAGTTACTGAGTTTTCCACATTAATCTTTAATTCATGTGTTATAATTCATGTATTTGTTGGTTGAGATTAGCTGATCCTAACTGTAGGTGACAGCACCAAGATTTATTTATAAATGTGTCCTTACGCAGGCAACATGCTCCTTATTTGTGTAGTCAAAGTTGTCAACTTTCTGCTTGAAGGTTTTTAGGATCTCACTGTGGCGTGCCATGTCTGTGGCCAGGATCAATGTGATAGTTTCCTGATAAACAAGACAAAGGAAATAAATCATCAGTATAGACACGGAGAACTCAGTGTCTTATGCTATTTTCTGTAGATGTAGTTTAAGATAAAGAGCATGGTGTGAAATAGTCTTAATTAGTCATTTAAATCTAATTTTGAAACAGTTGGATGTAAAATGTGAATTAAAACAAAATGCAAATTGTAAATGTCATATTACCACAATCTAACATTCACACATATTCATAGATGCATCAGAGGACAACTTGGGGTTACTATTTTGCTCAAGAATATTCGACATGCAGACTGGAGCAGCCAGGATTTAAACCACCGCCCTTCTTATTAGCACATAACCTGCACTACCCCCTGAGCTACAGTCACCCCAGCCACTAGGGACAGCCACAATGTCCATAGCACTGAGAAGCAAGTAGAAGGATGGCTGAAGAACACTGATAGATGTGGATTACATGGGAGTTTAAGGCCAACATGGCCTGTTCCCCAGGTTAATGTAGCCCATGACAGTGCATGCTGTCCCATTTACTGTACTGAAAGGAATGAAGTAAAAGATCAACAAGTACCTTAGCAGGTGGCTAGGAATCTAGATCTAGAGAACTACAACTACCCCTCTCATTGAAAGCTTGAGTGGAAAGAATATCAGGTTATCTTGACTTTCAGAGACTCAAGAGACACAAGGTCAGAGAAGCAGGGATAAAACCCAGATCGAACAAAGATGAAGGCCTTGTACATCACTGGCCCAAGCAGAAAGAGTCCTGAAGCACCTGTTAAATATTTTGTGCAGGGTCTCATCAAATAATAATATAATTATTTTTGCCATTGTAGTGCATGTATTAACCCAAACAATACTTCTGTTTCTGCAGCTGCACATAAGTACCTGTCGTATCTGTTTAAAGGCCTCAGGGTCAAAGTTGAAGAATATGTTGCAATCAGGCCGGGAGAAAATCTGGAAGGCCACAGCACAGTGGTGGTTCTCCAGAGGAGAAATATCATTGTAGCGAAGGGCCATCTCCGTTCTAGCGTTGATCTGATACCTGCGGAGGGAATTATGACAAAGAGGATCAATAAGAGGAGTGAGAGGCACAGGGACAAACGTGACAGGAGGAGAGAGACTGAAGACTGAGTTAATAGAAAATTGAAAACACAAAGAACTTCCTGTTTTAGTTTGAAAGGTAATTGTCTCATGTTCTATGGCTGTGTCCCAATTCAGGGTCTGCACGCTTGAAGTACGCATTTTAAGTGTGATTACGTCACCGCCACGAGACGACGGCTGTCCCAATTCGAAGTGTACTTCAGCCGAAGAGTGAACTGTCAAAAGTAAGTACTGAATAT